GGGAAAAAACAGGGATCGATTGAGAAGCCCGTCAAATTGATGTAACGCGCGATTTTACTCACGTAGAGTATAGCAATTATTATGTGTATATTGTTTTACTATGTAGTATATTGTGACCGGGCAATTCAAATTTCCCGTAGCCAATGTAAAATAAAAACGTTACCTAATATCTTAGATAGAAGTTGATTCCAGTAATATTATGTGAGAATCGTGTTCTACGGAAAATTCTGATTACGAAATACATATCAGAATGCATGCTTAAGTGTGGTCTCACGATAATTGGAATAGTTTTGTCGCCGTAACAGACAACACATTTTTTGGTCGTATGTTTAGTAGTAATGATGATCTCGCGAACTTTTTCGCATTAATTTTCAAAGGGTTACGCGTTATAACGCTTTCTAATGATTTATTGCTCTACTTCTCAATTAATATTATGTAAACTTCGAGAATAATCTGTCTGTTACGCAGTCAAAAGTCAGTATAACAGACGCAGCACTTTTTCGGCAATTTATATATTAAAACTGAAAATTAGAGCGATAAATCGTTGAAAAGCGTTATAACACGCAACCCTGTGTAGATTAATGCAAAAAAATTCGAGTGATTATCATTACTACTAAAAATATGACCGAAAAATGTGTTGTCTGTTACGGCGACAAAACTATTCCATTTATCGTGAAACCACCCTTAAATATCCGCACCTTGTCTAGTGGTCCATTTGAAAATTGCGTCCAATTCGCGCTCCGACAGTAATTTTTTCGTGTCCTAGTCGATGCTGGTAATTTCCCACGACGCCATACGGGGATGGCAGGGATAATTGTTCGAGAAACGGACAAATTCGGCGGGTGTTTTAACGAGATCAGACGGCATCCGGAGTTGCTCTGCGGTAGACAACGTTGCCGGATCGGCGTTTGAACTAACCTTCCGAATGGCCCTCTTCTGGGGGATAATTAATATAGATTATTCGCGGAAACATGACGACGGGATACAGACGGGACGGTCCAGGGTCCCTCGGCCTCGAGCGGTTGCGGCTGCGGGGGCAACGGAACGTAACGGAGGAATCCTCAACATGCACCGCTGCACCCACTGCACCCCCGTTGACGAGCCACTGCCACCTTGCCCAGCAGGACCGCTCACCCTCCACTTATCGCAACGATTTCTCGACGCATTCCCCGAGTTATCACGCGAGCTATCGTCCCGGTCTCGGCCTCGGGGGGAGGCAAAAAAGGAGGAAATCGCAAAACATGCGCGTAAAACAAAGACCGCGCGGACAAAAACACGCGCTTATACTCGCAAGCATGCTCAAGATAGCATGTACGGCCATCTCGCCGAACATGAAGAAAATAAGTCTATTTTTAGCTGATTTACAACAATCAAGCATCAAAACACAATTCTGTGACCAGCGCAACTGACCCACCTTAGAGAGTTTTTTGAAAGGAGGAGCCCTTTCCTTCGAACTATCGAGGTTTTCGAATTGAAAAATTGCAGGTGTCTGAAATTTGATGAATTTCGTGTTTAAGCGGGAACTACTGAGTGAACTGATAGGAAACTCATGGTTCATGAGTTGAACAATTATTAGAGAAGATATGACAAAATCATCTTATCTGCTAAAATCCGTGCGTTTCAGTGGGAAATGCCGCCAGATGACGTCACAAGGTGACAGGGCCGGATTAAGGGGGTGGCCACATGGGCCGCAGCCCATGGCGGCAAAATTAGGGGGCGGCAAATTTTGCAATTATTTTAAATGCAGGTTCAAAAAAATCGGATTCAGAAAAATATTACAAACAAGAAAAGGTGACAAAATCTCTCATTTCCTGAGAGTTCATTAATTTCTAATTTTGTCATATTTCGATGATACAATAGACTGCGCACCTTTAATTAGTTGAGTTAAGAGTGAAACCAAACACGTAATTTGGCCTGGAGCGGCGCGGCACAAAGAGAAATGATGACGAGGACTTGAGATGAAAAGGAGAAGCCCTCGACGCGGCGGTCGGCATGTAACACATATTAGCGCCTACGAGACTACATGAATACTTCACGCATTGCGCCAAATACAGTGTGGTTAGCGTGGCACGGCGGCGGGAGTTAAAATTATTAAACCACATTTATGTTTGTTCTTTCTTAATTTTTTAGTTCATTTCCTACAAATGAAAGGCCTTGTCCCCACAGACATAGATTCATGGAACTGAACTTTCGCGCGAAGTTCCGTGAACTTTTGCTAGTAGTGTTGACAGGGCTTACGCAAAAAATGTGTCCAACACGAGTGAACGCGTCTTATGCACCCTTCTCCCTCCGGCACGTTCACTTGATGATTTTTATTGATGTTTCAAAATGAATGAGAAGAGGGCGGCAAAATACAGGCGGCCCATGAGCGACAAGTAGGTAAATCCGGCCATGCAAGGTGATGCATTTTCTCACTTTTAAATCTATTTCTAACTATTTCCCATATGAGAAAAAAGTATAAAAAAACTGTGAAATCAGCTCTTTAAGTGCTTTCAGATGGCGCAATAAAACATGTGCATGCAAATTCTCTATTGATTGGAATGGAGATGTTGCATGTGTGAGGAATTTGCGATTTGACTGTTGATCCTCATGTAAAAGATTGCGAGAAACACGATGGTGCCACTGGTTTTCTCTGAAATCAACTCCCAAGCTTAAAAAAAGCTCTCCAGTTGAGGCCAAAATGGAGGGGATATCCCACGCTATCCTGAGAGGCCACGTCTACATCAAGACAAACTCTCCATGCAAAGATAGGGAGCAAATACATTGACAGGGCTGCCACTTTATTTGGGGACTCTAAAACTGAAAAAATGGCAACCCTTTCAATGTATTTGCTCCCTATCTTTGGATGGAGAGTGTGTCTTTATGTAGAAATGGACTCTAGGGATAGCGTGGGATATCGGATATCCCCTCCGTTTTGGCCTCAACTTGAGAGCTTTTTTTGAGCTTGGGAGTTGATTTTAGAGAATACCAGCGGCACCATCGTATTTCTCGCGAACTTTTACATAAGAATCAATAGTCAAATCGCAAATTCCTCATACATGCAGTAGTCCAGTCAATAGGGGGTAAAGTAGAGACAATTTCTGAGGAAACTTTCTGATATACTATTCTTATGTATTTTTCATCGCTGAATCCGAATTTCACATTTGCGAACAAATCTGAGGCGAGCCAAAGCCGCCATCTTGAAAAAATGGCCGAAATTTGCGTTTTTCGGCCGAAAAACCGAAATAACTCGTATATTATTGAAATTACGGCAAAAGTAGTTATTTTCTAAATTAA